GTTCTGCATATATATATATATATATATATATATATATATATATATATATATAAGATGCTTAGCCACATTCGTTCTAACAGTCTGAACATAATGAAACAGAAATATTCCTACGCCCGAAAGTGTTTCCTAAAAATGAGCAGATGACCACCCTTAAGTCGAGAAATAATTTCTTTTACCAAAAATAAAACTTCTGGACAATTCAACGACTGAAGACTACATTGATTTGCATGGCGAAGAAAGACGCATCCATAGGAGAGATAGAGAAAAACAAGAACAAAATATTAGGACGTTGTTGACTGTTCTTTTGTCTGTAATATACTAGTAAGCCTGTCGGACGTGGATATGACCAAATTGTTTACGTAAGTTTGTCCTATGTAATTAGTAGTAACAAAAACAGTGTTTCCCTGTACTGAGAGGTTTTTTCTTGCGTTGTACCAGTCTATTTTGGTGACACAGAAAATGTTTACAATGTGATCGAATTCTAGTCAAAAGCAAACGTTTTCGGAGACCGCAGACGGCGAGCTGGTCGTTATCTCAAAGAATTAGACTATTTTTAAAGATGAAAGGGAAAGTCCTGCCAAATTATGTTGTCTGTTCGATGTTTCCCAATGCCGTTCTAGTCGAAGACCTTCCATATGCTGTCTGTGAACGCCTTTATGTTGATGATGTCGGCTGGCGATAAGCAAGTTGGTAACTTTTAAGGTGCTCAGAAATCTTGAACAACCTCAGCCACCTTTGTAGAACTGCCCACAAATAAGACCTAATCGCTGAAGTACATGCCCTTCCAGGTTAAGGGTCACTAATCAGTTTCGGGGGATATAATAACACTTGTAGTGTTCCGCAAGTTGATTTACCTAGCTCGTTGCTAAGCATGGTTCTATCATTATTACTCCGCTACAGATTAATATCACCAAAATTGAAAACTCACCAAAAACTAACAAGTCTTTCAGTTGATCTGGTCGGTATCCGTTCAGAGCCTACAACGGATATAAACTGTTTCGACGACTTTGTCTCACGATGTGATTAAAAAGGGTGCAGTAAGCTAAGAATCCTCTCTATAAATTTGGTTACGTAAAGTGACATTCCCGACAAAGACAGTGGAGACTAGGATAGCCATTTCTGGCTTATTAGCCATCGTCAGCTAGTCATACCCAACCTAAGTGTTGCTCCAGAGATTGATTCCTCACTGGAGTTTCGAACCCGCGACTTTGTTATTTAGAAGTCCAACGCTCTAACTACTGCGCCATGGGCTCGTTGTCTTGTCGATTTTGATCGGGAATATACAGGGACAG